TTTTTTTTTTTTAGTTTTTCACTGCTTTGATTCAGCAAACAAACTCTTTGGGAAGGAAAATCAAAATACAATTTTTTTTCTGTTAAACTGAAGAAAAACAATCCTTTTTTTTTTTTGTTTTTGCAATTTTTTTCTGTTTTTAAACCACCTTTTCAGCTCAAAAATATTGTTAAACTTTTGCAAAAATGTTTAGCATATCATTATTGGCAAAGAATTAATTATGAAAATTTTGTTGTAACATTGGCTTAATCAATGTTTGGAGTGGATGAAAATTGAAGCAAACTGCAAATTTCGTTTCTTCTAATTTCTATGTATCAACGACTTTGTCTGCTTCCTTCGTCTTCTGAGGATATGTACAATTTTTTTCCGGACCGTTATCTTATTTTTCGCTACCTTTTTTTTTGGCATTCCTTTACCGAACATTAATTTGTTGTATGTTTCATCGGTTTCCTCGTTCTTATCCTGTATCTTACTTTATTCTCGCTTTATTTTGTCTTTTAATTATTTGTAGTTAAACACAATTAGTGAACTTTTCAAGCCCTTTATTCACATCATTAAAATTATTTTCCTATGCAAATTGAACTGTCGTACACAGTGTAATTATGGGATTCGTCTGTGACCTTTTTTGCCTTCAAAATTAGTAGTTACTTTTTATTTCGTCTTAACCAAGAAAGTTAAACAACAACTTTTTTCTGGTTTCTTTTTTCTTTCTCTACTGTTGAACATTTGCTCATTTATGCTATTATGTAAAAAAACTCGATAAAAAAAAGTAACGAACTAATTTTTTGGTTAATTGGTTAGTGGATGTAAAAAGTACCAGTGATTTACAAAGAAGAACTCATTACAAAATACCTCTTTTTTTCCCACATCTGACTTTCCTATCACTATTTGATATACCGCTCTAGGAAGAAAAAAAAGGTTATTGGAAACTAGAAGAAAAAAAGAAAGAAAAGAGTAGTAAATTCAGAATAACGGTAAAAAGGTGGATTCCCAAATATCGGCAAAAAGAAATCGATGCTTTTTTTTGTCGATGAAATAATTTTTGAATGCATAGAAAAGAAGTGGAAAAAGAAGACGACAAAAAAAGTTGCCCCCTTTTTTTTTGTACCCTGAAACTCAAATCATCCTCACTTTTTTTTGATGCTGAGCTCCGTAGGTGTGTGTGCCTGTGTTTTTTCCTCTCCTCTGTGTGATGAGTGTCTCTGTGTTTATCGGTTGCTGTGTCTTTGTTTGGGTCTTTGTGATAAATAACCGTAAGTAACAACACAAGGACAATGGTGGTGTTACAGAAGAGCAATGGTTGAAAGGGAGGAAAAAAGAGAGAATTGGAATAAAACTTGATATGTTATTTTGTGAACTGAGGAATTTTTGATGGTTTCAACTATAAAATTGTACAGATTTTTTTATTTCTTCTTATTCTTCTTCGTCTTCAGTTCTTTTTGCTAAAGTTTGTTGGTGGCGACAGTGACAGCAGTGATGATGACTTTACTACTTACTGTTACTACAGCAAAGTTATAGCAATAATTTTACTAGTTTTCCACTTAAAAAAAATTTATATTTAAATTAAAGATTTTTTTTCAAGGTAGCTTTTGTAAATGTTCCTTTTTGTTGTTGGTGTTTCAGTATGTCTTTGTGCGTTTGTGTGTGAGTGAAAAATTCAACTAAATGTATTGCTCTATAATCAGTTTTGGTGGATAAGAGAAGCAACAACAGCCGTCAGAAAAGTTAGCTAATACAGAGGGTAAATTGTGATGATATGATACACAAATTTCTTGTTGTTGTTTTTTCCTTTCATCTTTATCACCTTTTTGCTATTTTTTTGTCTTCTTAGGCAATTGTCAACATTTTTCGACTTTTAGTGATGTGATGTTTCTTTATTCGTTAAGCTTTTCAACTTTTTTTGATTTTTCTTACCTTTTTGTTCTTGTTTTTTTCTTACCTTTTGGTTCTTTACAATTACATCTAATAGAATTGTTG